ATGTGGGAGCCAAGCATGAAAGAGGGGCTGGCCCTTCAAATTACAGACTCCATTGTTTCCTCCAATGCCACTGAAATGCCACCGCCTCTGCCCTGGAGGGGACATATAAACGCCACCAGAAGCTCTAGGACCCTAAGAATTTGGGCCCTGAATATCTGCATGAGAAGAAAAATGTGATCCATACAATCAGATGCTTGGGAGAAGGATATGAATGTGATGCAGTAAGTATATAAATTCATTTATTCTTGGTAAAATGTGCTCAACAGCACAGTGTTCCAAGGGGTTATTTGATACTGTAAGGGAAAAGCAGCATTAAGGAAGGCCAGGAGTGACACAGAGCAGGCAACTGCAGTGTCTGCAGGGTGATTTCCAGTGAGAAGACTGAGCTGTGTTGAAGAGTGTCTGCGTCAGAGCACGAACTTCCTTAGAGAGGAGTCACAATGGTCCCTTCAACACCCAGCTCAGGGCAGAGCCTCAGTGAGTCAGCCTGATCTGTTCTGCTTTGCACTTTCTCCTTCTCAGCGCCCTCTGGGCTCATGTTTTCAAGACCAAATTAAGAAATAAGTGCCATGGATGCTTCTAGATCATCTGCTCTGCTGTCTGTAAGATCTCCAATGCACAGATAGTACATAGTTCTCTCCGTGAACAATTTTTCTTATGCTTCAGTGCTGCTGTTTGCCCATACTCACTACAGGAACATTTTTAGCTCTCAGATGTGGCTGGTTTCACAGCTTCCCAGCAGTCTGAGGTATCAGCGGAGGGATTTGTGCTCAGCAGCACACAAGGCAGAGCCAGGGCACACGATGTGAGGAATGCCTGCAGCACACAGGGGCTGAGCACAGGACCGTGGGCTGCTCAGGCACACTCCCACTGCCGGCATTCCCCAGTGCCCACCAGCCTCTGATCCCCTGCTGCACACTCAGAGCAAAAACAAGAGAGGGCTATTTATCACTCTTTTTTATTGCACTAATTGTTACAAATGTAAGGATCACTGACACTTATTTCAGCGTGTTTTGCTGCAGGGACAAACTGTCCTCTTGTCTGTACAGGAGAGGCTTTGATGTGCAACGCTTTTCAAATTGAAAACGCATATTTATACCTAATCTAAATGGAAGTACCAGAAAAAATGGTAGGTCTTTTTGCAAGGATGTCCCAGCTGTGGCAGGTGAGTCTGCCTTTCCAGGAATGTTGGTAACAGTTTCAGTTCAGGATCAAGATCTGAATCTTCCCCAGAACTCTAGGAAGTGACTGTTCAATTGAGGGGAGTTCTGGACAGACATTTTTTAAAGAAATAGAAAATAGGAGACAGTTCTTGTGATGACTTACCTGCCTTAAGAAAAAAATTGAAGAAAACTCATTGTAAATGGGAAAAGGGAATCAGGGGCTACAGTCACATGGCCTCAACTGGTCATTTCAGAGGAGTGACTGAGCATAAAGGGATCCTGTTAGTAAGGCACTGGTGGATGTTTGTTGTGGGGAATGGGAGGGTCTTGAGAGTGGCTGACAGAAGTAAGGGAGACCATGGGGTTTGTATCTTGAAGACAGACTAATCCAGATATATAGCATGACGTTCAGAAAAAAAAAATAAAATATGGAGAAATCATGTTTTATGGACTTAGGAAAAATGCATATCTGAAAACCGTGAGTGTTTCACAGTTTCTAAGTGCTGTGCAAGGTGGCTGGGTGTGATGAGGCAGTGATTTTACCCCTGGCTGAGCTCTAATGGGAGTGACAATCTGTATTACTGTAGCTCTTTGGGACAGGGCAGTCCCCTCTGGTTCTGCCCTCTATGATATTTTGTAGCTCCAGGCAGTAAAAATCCTTGTGTGACTCTATGAAGTCCTGTAATATTAAATGGATGACTCCATGGGTGTGGATAAGCAAGGACAGCCACGAGGCATGACTAAAGGTGTTTCAGATGCTTAGGTCAGACCTGCCCTTCCAGCAGTGGCTCATGAGGATCACAGCAGTGAGACCTGCGAGCTGCTTTCCATGCAGGCAAAGGTCAGTGCTCGGTAAGTTCCAATTCTTGATGAGATACTTAAAGCCATAGCTGTTAGTACGTGTGCTGCTACCAACATCAGCTCTGCTTCTTTTCTATTCCTTAAAAACTCGTGGCCCTCAGATCGCCAAATGGTGTGTGTGAGGGATTATGGCCCATGACAGTGCCTAAGCTTCTGTGTGCACTGCATATTTTGTTGTCTGAGCTAGTATCTCTTACCCAGTTTCTGGTTTCTGTGCTTATCAGTTGTGGCTCCAGAGCATGTCCTGGCACACAAGTATTGCTGTTGGCACTTGGCTGTGATGACAGAAAACAATCTTGCTAAGGAGTGTGAGGCCCTCTGCAGCCTAAATTCAGGTTTTAATTTCTTGATTTGCTCCTATGATCATGCCACCCCTCTGGTAGCATTTGTAATGAGAATGAAAGAATTGATCACTTGTTTTTTAAGTTCTTCAGTTCTTTTCTGATGAGGCTCTCCTTTTGCATTAGAGTAGCTAGCTCAGAAATTCCTGAAAGAATTTTCTGTGTTTGAAGTTAACGAGTTGTCTAGAAATAGGTGTTTGCAAACAGGAGTAGGGATTTTCCTTCTTAGTGTAAAACAAAGGAATATTTTGAGTTTATCAAAGTCCTTCCACTGAAGTGCAGCACGTGTGTGCCATGGCAGCCTGCTTATTGTGATTGTCTACTACAAAAATAGAACAGGAATCTCTGTTTTTCCCGTTAGAGGTTCTCTCCTATCTTTAGCAGTGTGTTTGTTAATGATTTGAGGCCAAGTTATGAAGTAGCTTGACTCCAACTTCCAATTACTTATTAACATCAAATTACTTATTAATTATGCAAGGAGCAGGAGTGTAACACAGTTTGTAAAGACTCCAGGATCATCACATTCCCTGCCTGTTCTAAAGAAATTATTGTTACCCTTTCACTCAAGAGGTGAAATAGTATTACCAAGTTGTGACTTGTTCACAGATTTCCAGGGCATGCAAACTATGCTGATTATGAAAGACAAAAAATAATGGTCTCTGTGCATTAATTGTTTAATTTCTGTGAACGGGATCAAAGCCTTCTGCTTCTTGGAGTTGATGGTAAAGCAGTTCCTGCTCTGTGGCCCTGAAGACTTGTTTCCCCTCCCCATACCTGTTCCCAGCCTGCACTGACCAGCCCTTCCCAAGCACTCACCAGGTAATTTTGTGTGACTCACATGAGGTCAAAACTTGTCTGTTGGTAGGAAGAGTTCAAGGGTGAGAGACAAAACTAGAAACAAACCAGAGCCACGCTGGCCAGGCCGAGGTAAGGACCAACACATCTGGTCTGACTGCAAATGGGAACCGTAAATTTTTATTACAATTACAGGTTTCATTGCTTTATTGTATTAATTTCTTACTGAGGCATCTTTGCATGAATCTAAGTACTTTAAGGACTGGGTTTTCAAAACTTGGTTATAAACTTTAAAAAAAAAAAAGCTATCCTCAGAAACCTGAGGCTTTGTTTGCTTTTTAAGTTGAAAAGTTTGGGGTGAAAACCTGATTTATCCTTGAGGGGAGGGGGGTGGGTAACATCACATTCTGCTGCTGTAAGCCAATACTGTGTTCTTCAGTCATAAAAATCCTTGGGTACCTCCTGGTGCCCAGCAGCTTCACGGTGTGAGTGTCCAGTGGGGTGGAACAGGTATTTGACATTATCTTGGGTTCAAGGCTTGGAGGGCTCGGGCTGCTATTGCTCTCTGCTCCAGCTCCCTGATCCCAGAGCATCAGGCAGCGTGCTCAGGTATCTGAAGCTGGGACAGGCAAGATCAAAGCTCTGCTTTTGCAGCAATTGGGAAGCTGTGTGGATTTGTGCTCAACTGTCCCAGTTGAGATGGAGCAGCTCCAGACACTGAGCTCGGAGTGAAGCTCCAAGCCCCAGCACAGAGCTTCTGTGCTGTTGTGAACTGAGCAAAAAAACCTTGCACGTTGCTTCCCTCCTGTTTTGAGTGATTCTCAATGTTGTAAATACCAATTAAATCCTTGTGTCAATATTTTCAAGGTGCAAAGCCAGAAACTGCAACTCAAACTTTAATCCCAAATACCAGGTTTCCTGTGGTGTGTGTCTGTCTCTGGAGAGAAGTATACCACAGGATAGGATGTGAGCAGGAATCAAATATTTGAGTATTTGAGTCTGTTGTGCCTGTCCCTAACACCAAATTATATAAAGCAAAAGGAACTTGATATGAATCAGTGCAATAATATGGATGTGAAGGCAAATTCAGGTTTGGTGTTTTTCTTGCTCTTCTCTGTGCCCCAGTAACTTCTTGTTTTGGGGTTGATCTGGTGAATGAATTATTTGCTGGAAACAGATGAGCAAACAGTAGGAGCTGGGAAGGTGTGTCTTGGTTCAGTTCTTTTTTCTAGCTTAAGCATCTGCTTATGCAATTTACTGCTGAGTAATTAAAGTAAGAGGCTATGCTTTCCTTCTCACAGATGCAACTCTTGCCCAGCAATATTCATAAGGGTATTATACAGGTCACCAAAAATAACTGTGTGGGGTTAATGGTTCAAGCTGTGCTGTCACAATTTGTCATAATGTTCTAAATCTACATATGTGCACAGGGGTGTGACGGACTGTAGCAGTTATTCCCCCAAACACTGAAGATGGGCATGGATCTGAGGGAAAGCATGCTTTATCCAATGGATTGGGAAAGCGAGGAGGTTAAAGCTTAACAAGTGCTTTGGGCACAGGATGTTTCACGGTGTGTCACCAGACGATTCCAGGGAACCGGAAGGTTGTCTCCCTTTGTAAAGTTAGCGATTAATGTGTTAACCGGAGCCTCCTGGAGGTGGAACCGTCAGGGCGGGCTCCTGTCAGCGCTTGGAGACGGAAAGTGGTAGGTAAATATTCCCGACGTGCACCGAGGTGCGGGGAGTGTCCCGGGCTTCCAGCATTCCCGGTTTGTTAAGCCAAGTAGGAATTAAGGGCTCTGTGGGTCCCACGCAGCAGAGGAGGTCGCTGTCCTCCAGGGCCAGGCTGCCATGCCTCTCTCAGAGCCCGTGGAAAGATGCGTGAAACTCCTCCCGTGCTTCTCCTGCTCGGATCGCTCGCCCAGGTGAGTGCACGGCAAGGCTGGAGCTGTTCTGAGGTGCAGGCTGAGGCTCCGGGGGAAGCCAGGTCCTCCGCCGCCGCCCGATCTCCGGCCACACTGCTCTGGGGCTCTTCGGGTGCCGCAGGGAAGGAGAAATGCGAGCTCAGAATCGCTTGGCAGAAGTCTCGAAGCGGTTTGTGGGGGTCAGCTGAGATGGAAGCCGGCAGGGAGGGAGGGAGGACTGCTCCTCGGCGTGCCCGTGGCCAGCAGCCCGCGGTGCCCTCCGCTCGGCCCGGCTGCCATTCACAAGTGACACCCGTGACCTTGCCCGCTCTTCTCGGCGCCTCAAGGCGGCCCGGGCCGCTCGGCTGCCAACAAAGGAACTTCTGCTCCGAAAATGGGGTAACTTAGCGTTCCGAAGGGATGAGTGCGAGCCCCGCTCTAGCGATGCCTCAGGGGAGGGAGCGTGTGCGTCTCCTGCCTTGTGCCTGGCAGAGTTAAGGGAAAAGTTAAGGGGCCATATCCACATAAACCAATTTACTGCTGGTTTTGGCAAATCCCATTCCGAGCCTGCCAGAGCAGAGGGCTTATGCTGTGATTTGTACTCAAGGAGTGCTCTTAATGCTCTGTACTGAACAGCTAATTATTAAAATAAGGTGTGAAGAAATCTGAAAGCCCAAGAAAAAAACAAAGCCCTTTTTTTCTTAGTGGGGAAAACACAGTTGTTCAGAGTAAGTGCTTTGCTTTAATTACCACCCTTTTCTTTGGTGGTAGGGACATCTAACGTAAACAAAAAGAACAAAAAAACAAAGGGACCATGAAGTCCTATAACTAGAGTATGTGACTAGTAAAGTTGTTCTGCTGCTACCGAGTTTATCTAGCTGAACAAACCTTACATTCATCTTTATAGAAACCAATCATGATTGCAGAATTTGCTAAATTCCAGCCACTTGTGAGTTTAGATGATTCAGTTGGATATGGTGTTGTGCCTATGGTGCAAAGCTTTGTGCTGCACAAAATATTCCATGTGTGTGTAGTTGCTAGCTGAGTTAACAGAGAGCTGAGACTTGTGATTTCTACAAAAGAAATGGAACAGGTTCACCCTATACTGACTTCCTGCGGGTTTGGAAGAGCTTTGGGAAGCACTGGGTCAAAGTACCTTGGGGTCTTTGCTGAGGTTTGGGGTTTTCGTTTCTCCAGCACTGGCAGAGGCTCTGTGTAGCACACTGCACTCTGCGGGCCCTGTCTTAATAGATGGATGCACCAGAGAGGACATCCAGGCCATTACACAAATTGAGGTGCTGCCTTGCTGCTCCTGCTTGGCTCAGTTCTGGATCCTGGGTGTCCCTCTCCTTCCAGTCCTCCTCTGCAGCTGCCTTTTTTTATCCCTGTCTAAAAACCTATGTAGCTATTTGTTCTTAACTTTTGCTTTGTCATTCCTGCACTCAACTGTCCCTGGCCTGTCCCCTTAAGTAAATGACTTAAATATCACTGTACTGAATAAAAGGGAGCAAATCCTCTTACCTGCCTCTGCACTGACACTTGGAGTTTTTCTTTGGGAAGAAAACCCCACTTTTCAGGCAAGATATGAATCTTACAGATGAGTTCAGCTCATTACATTTGTGAGATGTGTCTTGTGCCCTGACGTGTTGATGCTCCCTGAAATGTGCACTGGTCTGTTTTCCCTTTGCTTTTCCTAGACTACTCCCATAGTTGCAGTCCTCCTCTAGAGATGCTCAGTTTGCAGCTGCCCCGGTTTTAATTTCCTCCATTTTTCCCTTTGCTTTCCTTTCTCTCCTTCACTTCGTGTTTCAGGCTTCAGCCAGTCTTCCTCCAAGCATTAGGTTTCTACTTGGTTAAGTCTCAGGCCAGCAGTTTAGTCCAGCCAAAAATCCCACTTTCCAGGTGTAGCCTACCAGTTTAACATAATGGTCAAGACACCTGTGTGGTACCAAGTAAGTCAGGAGATGGCTTTGAATAAATGACACAGGCAGATATGGTTGGAGTGGCTGGAAAATTAGCATGGTTTGGTTAGTTCAAATCTAAGGGAGCAATGGAAGGGGCGTTTCACTTCTGCTTGCTTCCTCAAAAGGACTACAGGGAAGTGACATGGAAAGCAGCAAGATAGCAGGAGGTGATGGAAAATCTAACAGCTTTGTGGATTTAGGGAGCGCCAGTGCAAATATCCTGACATCTGTTGTGTCAGGTACTGGTGTTGGGGAAGTGACTGCGTGGTAGCAACCCACAGGTTTAGGGCTTGGCTAAAAATAGGCTCTCTAAGAGATGTGCAGCCAGAATGTGCCCATGGGAGGAGTCCAGGGAGAAGAGGATCATCTCTGGAGTGAGCTGGTGGTGTGGAAGTGTTTGGTACGAGGCTGATAAGCGCAGCAGGTCACATAAGTGAGGAAAACATAGTGAGAGCTGTGCTTCTCCTCCAGCCACAGGAGAGAAGGGCTTTGGCCTGGGTATTGGGGCCGTGAAGGAGAGAAAGAGAAAGGCATTGGTGAAGAATTATCCCCATCACCACCCACTCTTCCAATCAGCTCTTTATTTTCAGCATTTTAATGGCAGCGGGCTGATTAAAATCTGTTCAAGATGTTTAAGGCAAATAATTTACTAGGAGCCATCCACTGCATACCAAAACACAGCGTTCGTCTCTTTTTTGTGTGTGTAAAGGTCACTGCTCTCCATGCTCAGAGATCAGCTTTTTCTTTCAGATGAATCATTTTCAGGCCAAATACTGTAGAAAGGAGTGCAACCACAAGCACTGAAGCAGTGCTGGAGATTGCTGGTGTCACTGCTCTCCAGTTAATAGAGGTGACTTGGGTGCGCACTGCTCTTAACATGTTGTTTCCTGACAGGTGGGAGGAAGCTGAAGTGCACGTTCAGTTATTCAGGTGCCAAAGTACAGAAACTCCTCTGCATCTTGTAAAAATGGCCAGACATTACACTGACACAGGCAGCTGCTTCCCCTAGAGGTCTTAAGTAAATCACATAAAATCAGATTTCAGGGTGTGGCTACTGAAGTCATTTCAGAGGGAAAACCCAAGCAGTGTATTCCTCACACACAAACTCATGTCTGTACAGAAGTCCCTGGGCTTGTTTGGCTTTCAGGTATGTTTTTGTCTTGATGGATGTCACCCAAAGGACAAAAGGAGTGCTGCTCCTTTCCATGAGCTCCTGACAGAGCACTGCTTTCCTGGTGTGCTGCAGGACCCTGCTAATCATCGGCACTCCTTGCCTTGCCTAGTTTTAGGAATCTGGATGAGGTGGTTTGCTGAGTCACAGTGTGTTTTGGTGACCCTGGGTGATGCTCCATCCATAGTGGACACATGGATCCTGACCGGTACATAGGCTGCTGTCTCACACTGCTAACAGCTAATCCTGGAGTTGAAGTAGTCCAGAAACTGCTTGAGAAAGTCGTGGTAGATGTAGTACTTGGGATTTAAGGTGCTGTTATTTACTTGATGGGAATGGCTTATGCCTGTTTTTATTAGGAGGGGGAGATAATTTTGTATGAAGTGGTCAAAGTATTGTGTAGTGAGCCCTCAGCTTGAGTGTCCCAGCTTGTTTCACTTGGCCAGCTGAAGCTTTGTCTTTACTGTTCTATCTTTTGTAGTAGCAGTAGTGAATGCATTTTTACTTTTTTTTACCTTTTGCTTAGATTCATCTCTTCTGAGTAAATGAAGAAAGTGACTATGAAGGCACAGCATCTGCCTTCTGTTTTCATCAATGAGGAGAAGTTCATAACCAGGTAAATTATTAAAGCCCTGAATATTTAATTACTTTTGTGCATTCTTTCAAGTTATTCCACATTTATTCTTTGACAGGGGATCCTGTAGGGAGCTGAGCCTGTAGCAGCAGAAATCCCTAGCACTTAGTTTATCCTACAGAACAGAGTTGGCCTTTACATGGAATTAAGAGAACAGAGCATTAAATATTTGGGTTTGGGTTTTTGTTCCTTAAGGGGAACAGCCCTTCTAGAGGATTCTGAAATAAAACTACAAGTTAGGGAAGAAGACCCTCCTGTCTTGGAAATCTGTTGGAATTGACCATAAGTTCCAGAATTGAGCTCTGCTTTTCTGCAGCTTGGGGTTTGGTAGCCCCAGATTGCAGGGTTTCTGTGCAGAAAGACTTTGGGGCTGCTAGCTCTCTGCTGTGGTCAGTGTCTCTTTCACCTACTTGTAAAAAATGCTTGGAAGTGCAATCTGTCATTTGTGGGATGCTTTTCCACAGTTCAGTGTCCCAGGAGGAATTTTTCCTACTGCTGCCCCAAACACTGAGCCAACTGGCGTTTAGCTCCATCCCCTTTCTTATGGGATTGATTTTTCCCTGTTGACAAGACCACAGGAGCTGCAAGAAGGGCCTCTCTCTTCATTTCCATTGCTCTTGTTCTTCCCATGGGAAAGAAACTACCTGTAGACTCAGCCAGGGATGGGGTTTGCAATGAAATTTGTCGTGCTGCAGTAGAGATTTGTTCCTGAATCCTGATACTTTCCTATGTGGCCTGAGCAATGCTGTTTTCTCCCTTTTCAAGGAAGGGCGGCAGGGCTTTTCCCAGAGCCCACAGGCAGCAGATACATCTCTCCCTTTCTCTTCAAGAGTTGTTTCCTTTATACTGCTGCTAATTTGGGACACAGTGCTTTTGTGTCAGAGGTAGTTAAGGTGTGTGAACTTGGCGTGCAAAAGCGTTTGGAAATGTACCAAGCAAACCATTGTCTCTGGGGCTTTACTCCCCTAGATCCTTGCCTGCTCATGTGATGAAATGTGCACCTCAGTTGAGACCTCTCTGCGTAACAGCTATGGTTTAAACTTTGTTTTAGGAAATAAGTTTAAACTTTGTTAAGTGAAATAAGTGTTTCAAGAACCACTGACATTCCATATGCACTCAGGCTTGCTTCCAATGCAATTTCCAGACTGCCATCCCTCATCTGTACCTTGAATCTGCTGTTACACTACTTCTCTTCCAATTCTATCCTGCAAATCTTGCTGATGGGGCAAGCTTGCTGTTTGGGAATTGCACAATGGCTGGATCAAAAGGCTGACCAAAGCTTGTGGGAGGATTTGGCTGGCTGAGCTGCTGCATCTCCAGCATAACTGCCATAAATATTCATGGGTTGTGTGTAGGGCTTGGGCAGGAAAGGGCACAGGTGAGCTGTCCTGGGTTAGTGTTTCCAGAGAAAATCCAGCCTGGGCTCTGTTGTGGTTTACCACTGGGGCACCTGATCCTGCAGCTCCTTTGTGTCCTGCTTTTGCTACTGAAGAAAGTGGTGAATCTGCAGGGCATGTTATGTTTTTGAGGTGAGTTGCTCTGCCAGTTACTTGGCTTTGGTTTCTATTAATGTCTGTGTTTGGCTGTTGTCACAAAGCTGCTTGCAATGCAACAGCTGCTGATTTTCCAGACACCAAACTCAGCAGAGATGGCATCAGTCTCTAGGTTAGGGCAATGGGAAGATGTGTTACAATAAGACTACTGCTGGAACTAGGCTGGTGCACATATTCCCTTCTGGGGCAAAAAGAAGGAAAATGATTTTTTTTCACTTGAATTTCTACTGCACAAGGACAAACAAATCAGAGTGAGCTGCTGTTAATCTCTCCCTCAGGGTTTTTCTAATTGCTTGTGTGGTTTGTCAATGTTGGTTTCACTAATGCAAGGCTGAAACCTGAAGGATTTACTTGTGCAGACTTCTGAGGAAGGTAATGGCAAGTTTTTCTAGACAAGGCAAAAAACTGTGTGAAAATCTTGGGAGCTTGCTCTGAGAAACAGAATCTGCTTCAGAGATGGCCCTTACCAGACCACTTATTGCTGTTAGTCTGTGATTTTACTTGCCTTTGCAGTCAACATGGACTAAGAGTAATAGGTGGGCCTCAGAGAATTGACCCAAGTCCTTATTTACAATCCATCTTCAGGGAGCTCACCTTCCCAACTTCCTGCTTGGAGAAAACCTTGTGAAATAACAGCTATCAATAAAATGATTGCCAAATGCTGTGAAGTACCAAGAGACTGGGGTTTGAAGCAGCTCTTGAGCAGGATCAGCAGGTCTGTCCCAACATCTGTCAGACAGAACTGCCTATCTCCTACTTGCCTGTTAATCATGAATTGCATCTGGAGCTTGCCTGCGTACGAGGCCGTGGCGTGTGTAATCTTGCTTACCTGTAGCCAGCGTGATCAGAACTGGGCTGGCACCCGATTCTTATCCAAATCTATTTGCATTCCCTTCTGCTGGGATGGCCTGAATGCAGTCCCTCACAGCCCATGGGACTCACGGAACCTGTAATGAGCTATTTCAACCCAAGGGTTTTGCCACCAGTATTCTGAGGATTTAAGACCAAAGTAAGTTGAAGTAAATGTTGAAAATCCTTGTTTAGAATTCAGAGGATAACGCTAGTTAAAAATATTTTTGTGTGTGGAATTGCAGTAATGTAAAGTAAATAATTTACATCCACAGAATTAGCAGGGAATGCAATGAACCTTGAGATTAGTGGTGCTGCCCTTGTCCTCATGTTGCCTGCCCCAAGCACAGCCTGGACATGTTACCTGCCCTCCTGGTGTCCCTGGTTCCTCTCTGCTGTGTGGGCAGCCGGGTTCAGGGGAAGGCCACGCTCCTGGAGCCTGTCCCCACGTTGGGCTCTCGGTTCCTCTGGGGCACTTTTTCATTTAAAATTGGTGGAGGAGTTGTAATAGTGTTTCTGATGGCACAGGAGTTCTGAAGAGCTTCAGCAGCTCCCTCTGGAATGTGTGGTGCAGAGTTTGCAGGTGCTGTGTGTTTGACCTGTGGGCTTGCTGTTCCAGCAGCTCTCACAAACATGGAAATAACAGAGTTGGTGCCTGCACACATCACTGCGAGACAGGACATGAAACCATTGGAACCATTAGTCCATAGGGAAGAATTTGTACACTTCCATGCAGTTGTTCCCCATGGCTAACCACCTCTGCTGGTGGGAATTGCTTGCTTGAATTACAGTCTGAGTCACCTTTAAATGGTGTGGGGAAGAGTGTTTCATTCTCAATGGCCTTGAAGTACATTTCAATTAATTCTGTCATTGTTCAGCCCTCCACAGCCTGAGCTGCAGCTGGCTTGTTGTCTCCACAGCTCCTTGCTTGCTGGCAGAGGTTCTCTTAATTTTCCTTCCTTTCCTCCTCTCAGCAAAGATGTGGTGCAAAGCTGTTTTGTTTCAAGCAGAGGGCAATAGAAATGTGAGACATCCTGTAGGTGTTTGGAGATAAGAAAAGTCTCTGAAGCAGTATTAGAAGTTGGAAGCCATCATGCAGGGAAAGCCAGGTTCAGCCTAGTTAAAGTAACCTGCAACATTGGTGTGTGCGGCTGTTGGTCTGTTTGCTTCCTCCTCATGACTGCTACAGAGGTGCAAAGTACAAGCTGTTCTGGGGCAATGTTATTAGGGTCATGTGGGACTGACTAAGTAATTTCTTCTGGGCCTTTAAAGAATCAACTTAAGAGCAACCAGGAACTTGACAAAACTTTACACTTCAGAAAATGATGCATGGATCATGAACAAACCTATTCAAGGATGCAGTGGGTAGCACAGTGATGGGGTGTTACCCTGCCACCTACTTCCTGCATTTTACAGAGGTGTTAAAAAATATTTTTTTCACTGTCATCTTTATTCTAGAGAGCAGCTCAGTTCTCTTCTGAAGAATTATAACTCTTACTATTCAGATCAAGAGAATCTGCAACTGACATATAATCAGGTAAGGATTTAGGGGTGAGAAACTCCACTCATTAGTGCTCTCTTCCCCTCACAGCACTGGACTCCAGCGCTTGCTGTGGTGTTTTTGTTGCATGACATGTTCCATCCAATATAATAAACCAGAGCTGATTTCCTCAGCTGATCAGGTCAGCTTTGGCTGTTTTGGAAATTGCTCAAAACAGAGGTTACACTTTCCCAGAGTAATCTGTTCCAGGGCTGTCAGCCTCAGTGATTTCATTGTATTACTGTTTCTTTGAGGGGAGATAGATTGTTATTAGTGGATTATTTTTACTCTGTTATTGTGCAGCACTAACTGTTTCACTGTTTCTCTCCAGCGGGAAGGAAGCCCACCATTCATCGAAGGAATCCTCTCAATCTTCTGGGGAGTTCGACATCCTATCCGATTAAAAATTCAGGATGAGAAGCAGATTCCTGCTTTTGTGACCCTGAAGTCAACAGAGAATGTGGGGTTTTTCCCTACTAAAAGGTAACATGTGAACTTCCCTAAGCAGGCTAGCATTGCAAGGTAGCTCATGTTGTGGCTTCAGTGGATATGGTTGGCTGCACTGGATATCCCAGGCTCCCCAAAGGCCTTGCTGGTTGCTGGGCAGCAGAGCCTTTCAACAGCTTGGGCTGGGCAGAAAGGTGTGTGTCTGTGGCATCTGTGTTTGGCCCTCAGGCTGAGGAGCTGCACGAGGCTGCTCTTTTTCATGGGCACTGGCTATTCCTGTACAAGGACTGGGAAATTGATGTAAATGAAAATAACAAACAAACCCCACGTGTTTCCACGTGCACCTGACAGTGGCAGCCCCTGCAAGGCCTCATGTTGGGGCACACACTCGAGCATGAAGCCAAGATCTGCTAGGTAAATGCTGTGGGATTGTCTGTCCCAGCTTACATTCCCAGGTGTGTGAGGTGTGGAACCATTGCTGCTCATGTGAAGTTCAAGTCAAGGAATGAATGTGGCTTTGTCTGTGCAAAATTCAGTGTAAAAAACCCTTCAGATGCCCACAGACCAGCTGTTCCAGCTGCTGCCAATGACATTTTATATCCCAGTGTGCTGAGCTCAGCTGATACAGGTACTCAGTGTATTTTTGTTTTGACCACTGTTCCCCCAGCCTTGGCTGGTGAATTTGATGAGCTGAATCTGAATCTTGTAATACAGAGGCAGTGTTAACCCTGAATGACTCCCTGATAAATTGTGTATTGCAGAGTTTATTTTTCTGATTAGTTATTGTCTCAGATTGCATGTGGGATGTGTTGGAACTGGAGATTTAATTCTGCCACCTTTGCAGCTGTGGAGTTCCAGTAAAGTCTTCCTCCCCATCTCTGGCTGTTGAAATGCAGGGATGAATTTTGACAGGAATAACTAGGAAAAAACCTGAGTTTTAGGCAAATCTGGCTCTCGGTTTACCTTGACCAGGTCTGCAGGGTGCACGTGGCACCCTTAAAAAACTCCTGACTGGTGGAAATCGGTATCCTAAAGTAAACATTAACTCATGATCCCAGAAACGTGGGGCTGCCCTGACATGCTCTAAGGTATGCAGAGCAGCTGGGCTGTCTGATCTTAAATGAACTTGGTAAATGTGTGGAATACAACCAAGATCTTGTTTGGCATGTAAATTGGGGGTAGCTGAATGTTGTTGGGAATATATATATATATACATTCACGTGAAATTCACTTTTAATCTTGTGCTACAAATTGGTTTATTCTCAGTCAGAGCAGTAACTGTCTGAATACCTTATGCTGAAGAGTTTAGGCAATATTTTATGGAAATATTTTTTTTGGAATATTATGGAATTTTATGGAAATGTTATGGTTTATGGAAATATTAACATGAATATAGTTTTTCCAAAAGGCTGGATGGATCTTCAGTTCAGCTGTTATTCCGTGTTATCTCATACACAGCTGGTTTGGGCAGCACAAGGGGCTGTGTGTAAGTGGACCTGTGTAACAGACCTGTGTTCTGTAACTGTTAAACAACAATGTATGTGTTTTGCGTGCCTGCCTGCTAGTCTGGGTGTGACTAATCCAGGGTGTTGCTGTAAAACAGATCAGGAATTACCGTGAGTTATGTCCTGGTTGATGTTCTAAATTGGATGTGTAACATCTGGGATCCCTGGTCATACCATATTTTAATACCTGATTTTATTATGACTTAAACTGAAATTACCATGCTGAAGTCAGTAAATTGAGCAGGGAGAGGAATGTATGGCAGGAACCCTGGTCACAGGATAAACTGAAATCACGGAGTTAATGAGGAGCAGTCGATGATAACTCCGTGTTTGGTCTTTCAGGGGAATGACTCGCTGGGGAGAATTTGATGACCTCCATCACATTAGTGGGGACACACTGAAGTCTACGGAGGAACAGCCAGACCTAGAGCAAAGTTAGTGTTGGTGGTCTCATGGGATCAAAAAGTTCTGTGTTCTGTGACAGTGCAAAAGGGATCTCACACATCAGGCCTTCCCTACTGGTGAAGGGAAATCTCTTTGCTCTGTGTAATGTGTACTGCAAGCTGGGGAAACACCCACCAAGGGCTGCTCAGGGCCAACAGTGCTGTGCAGGCGACTTGCTGAACAGCCAGTGGCAATGAGCACTGCTTTTATCCAAGAAATCATTCCCAAGGGAACAAAACAGCAAAGCACAACAACTGCAATCAGCCCATCCTTCATCCTATGCCTGTGCTTTGTTCCTAACCAACTCCACCCCCCTCCAAATAAATGATAAATAGTAAATAAAGCCCTTCACCGAGAGCCTCCTTCCTCTGGGGGTGCTGGCAGGGAGCGGTGAGCAGCCACACGTGATGTGTGGTTTTATTCTGTCCAGGTTATCCATGTTACGAGAGTCCCACACTGAGGGAGCAGGAGCTGGACTGTGCCACCCTGCCCCGGACCAGCAGCGATGCCGCGGCCGTGCGCAGGAGGACCAAGCTCCCCACCATAACCAGGATGGAAGTAGAAACTCACAGGTTCTCAATCAATGGCCACTTCTACGACCACGAGGTGGGAAATTTTAGGCTTGGCTTTGTCACCTGAGGGGCAGGGAACCCTGTCCAGTGAGTTTTGCTCACACCATGGTGCGACCGTTCTTGTTCCCAGACATCAGTTTTCACTCCTGCTTTTGGCTCAGAAACCAAGATAAGAATCCACAGCCAGATGAGAACCAGACAAGTGATAGAGCAGCTCCTTCGTAAGTTTAAGGTAAGTCTGCTGGCAGGAGGAAGCCACAGTGGTCGTGTGGCCGTGTTCTGGAAACGTTCACACCGATGTACGCTCCAGCACTGCGGGAAAGATGGGGACTAACTGGGCAAGGATAGCGCATGGAGTGGAGTGTAAAACGAAAACCCCACACGGACAGTTTTGAATGCATGGGTTGGGTTTATTTTAGCGGTGTTTCACGGCTCTCAGAGGCCAGAGGAGTTACCCTGGGTGCGTGGCGTGCGGCGATGGGACAACCGCAGGACGGCTTCTCGCAGCTCCGCGCGCCCCCGGCGTTCTCAGGGCGGGCAAAGGCTGCGCATTGTCCGTGGCGGTGCTGCCCTCCCGCGGACAGCCCCGGGAACTGCGGCTGGAGTGAAACACCCGCGGGACAGCGCCAGGGGCTGCCACGAGCCTTCCCTCAGAGCCAGGCGTGGGGGAAAATCCCGAAGGTTTGAGATAAAAGGATTTGATTTTATTTTAAAAAAAGGATTTTTCTTTTGGTGCTAGCTCCTACAAACAACGCCGTGTGTGGTCAGGAGTAGCTTTGCCCTTTCTGCTGTGTATTTCTCAAATATCTTGATTTTGCATAGCTGCTTAGTGTTTAATTTATCTTTTAATGGCGTTAAACTTCCCATTTAACTTGTCTAGAGAGGGAGGTGCTGGGAAGATCTGTGAGGCTGAATGGATTTTCTTTTGTTTCACAGATAGAAAACAGCCCCCGTGAATTTGCACTTTACGTTATCCATGCATCTGGAGGTAAGCCAGCCACTGCTGCCTGATCACTTCATGTCTAATCATTCTGTGTGTGTGGAATGTATCCCTTGGAGTGACAGGACTCATCCCAGGCCTCTGTCCTTGTTTGTGCACTGTGTGTGTGGAGGGGCATTCTGCCTTCTCAGGGACCCTTCAGAGATGTCTCCTCTGGAGAGGAAAGGCTGAACAGTTGTGCTGTGGGCCCTTTCAGCTGACAGCTTTCGATTCCATGTACTGAGTTCAAAGTACTCATTGTTCAGTGGAAAAAGTTTACTTCCACAGCAGTTTACTCTTGCTTTTTGAGGAAGAGGGAGATTTGATCTTTATTAATGGGAACACCTGGGACAGTAGGAGGGAACTGGGGGAGAAGTGGCACTTTAAATGGCACAATGTTAGGGACCTGTTATGTATCTGGTCATGGCACTTGGGTCAGTATAGGATCTGTGTCAGGATAAAGGCTCATGGCTGCAGGCAGTAGATAGAGCCCTTGTGGGATGTTCCCTGTTTTATAACATTGCTTATGAATTGCAGAAAAGAAACAGCTGAGGAGTGGAGATGTTCCCTTGCTGCACAGGCTGCTGCAGGGGCCCTCTGAGAAGATTGCCAAGTTCTTTCTCATGGATGGGGACGTGGAAGAGATCAGCAGTGATGTACGTATATCCTCACTTCTTACAGTCCATGGAATTTTTCTCCATGACCGTAGTTAGTGGTGCCTTTCTTGTCTTCTCCTTGTTAGGTTGCTCAGTACATTTCATTTCATCTTCCCTTTCTGGAATCGATTCTGCACAGAATAAATGAAGAGGAGGAGCAGGAGATTCAACAGACAGTTGCAAGGTAAACAGACACAAGTGAGGTGTCACAGAGTCCAGGGCAATCTGTGCAGTTGTGGCCTGGCTCATGAGGATAAGATGTGGTTGTAGCAGCGTGCTACAGCATGGGGCATTGTGATGGGAAGGCTCAAGGGAGTGGGAGGGCTCATAATCCTTTCCCTATCCTGTTGCTCTTAAAGACTCCAGAATTAATACTGACTACACACAGAGTGGGGTCTTCAGAAAATTTGGACCCTCAGGGGAACTTCTCTTTATTTTGTTTGCTGTTTGCTTTCTGAGCCTTTGACTGGTTCCTCAGTTTGTACTTGCTGCTGTGCATTCCCTTGGCATGGATGAATGCAGTACACACACAGTACTATTTCTGTTCTGTAGCATTTGAGCCACACCAGTGCCTTATGTCCCTTTAAAACTCGAGGTGAATGACAGGAATCCCACTGGCAGTAGCTCAAAAGGCCCCACAGGTACAGCTCACAGGGACTCCCATACCTGTGAGTTCAAGGGCACTAAGAGGCTACAGCAGCCATAGATCTCTTACTGGATACTGGGCTGATAGTCATGTTGAATCAAAGTGTCCAGGAAATGTTTAGAAAATACTAATCTTGCCTGCATTGGGAAAGTTTTCATTGCCATTTGACCAGCTCACTGAAATTTGGATTGAAATTTTGCAGAGGTTATTTAAATGCATTCTCCCTCTCAGGTACCTCAGAGAGAAGAGCCTGATACGGCAACACCTTCGAAGTCGAAGTGTTAAAAAAACAGAGACTACGGTGTGATGGGCTGGCCCCTTGGGAACACCCGGGAATGGCCCCTCAGAGAGCCTGGGCTGCTCAAGGGGGCAGAGTCCTTGCTGCTGCTGCCTGCGGGCTGGGACTGAGGCTGCTTCAGCCTCCTGGAGTGCCAGGTGGGGAAAGGCTCTCCGCACCACTGAACCACTCCCGCAGCGCTGGGTGCAGGCAGGAACCACCTGAGGAGATACACTGCATCACCCAAACAGCAGATGCTGGATCTGACTTGGAACTTAGGCAAAAAATCCCCTGAAAAGCCCAAGGCTTTAAATCCTGCTGATGTGTGACCTGGTACCAAGAGGCTGACGTAGAAAAATGTTGCAATAATCAATGTGCTGATCGAAAATATGCAAATTAAGGATGTGGTCATCCCTCTGTTTGAGAAATATTGTATTATATTACCAGAAAGCTTTTCAGTAGAGCCAAGTGGCAGAAGGTATTTATGTATTCAAGATTGCAGGCAGAATTTTCATTTAAGCTATAAAAGATCCATGCAAGATGCCTGAAATCCACCGGCTTCAGGCTGGTGAGTGCTGAAACTGCTTAAGCTTTGAGCTACTGTAAGAAAAACATAACTGGAAACCCTCCCACTTAGGAGCTGCCCTGCTTTACCAATGACAGGGAATTTACCGATGAAATACCTCGTGAACTGCCAAGTGAGAACTGGCCAAACACTGTTGGGTCCTGAAAGGCATCTCAGTGGTTACTGTTGGAATAAACGATTGTGTTCCTCGATGTGTTTTGTTTGAAAGGGAATTGAGAAGTGCTCCAGTCAGGGCACAGCAGCCAAATGTCCGGTTCTGTCTGGCTGAGCCGTGTTCAATGTTAGAGCTAGAATTATAGAGATGTAAATAAAATAAATCTCTGCACACTTCATTCTCCTCCTGCACTGGTTGGCCGCTTCTCCTGAACTCGAACTCACTGGCTGGGTTCGGGTAAACTCGGAACCGCTCGCCGGGTTCGATCGGACTCGGCTCGGTTCGACTGAACTCGGAACAGCTTCGGGCTTCGGCCGCGTTCGGCTGAACTTGCAGCCGGTATTCGGGTTCGGCCGAGCTCGGCTCGGTTCGACTGAATTCGGAGCCGCTCCTAGGTTCGGCTCAGCTTCGGACCGCGAGCCGCTCTCGTGTGTGGTCTCGTGAACCGGGCCTCTCTGCCAGCGGCGGCCGCTCGGGAACGGGGAGAGCTGGGATCGCTTCTCCCCGGGAATGCTCAGGGACCGAACCCGGCCGCCGCCGCTGGGGGCTGCCGCAGGTGCGGTTCTGGGAGCGGGCAGGGCCCGGCAGGGACGCGGGGCTGTCCAGGGCCGGGAGGGGCTGTTCGGCTCTGCCGGGGCGAGCCGCGGGCACGGGAGCCGAGCGGGCAGAGGAGCTGAGTGGGCAGAGGACCCGAGCGTGCGGCATCTCGGCAGCGGGGTCGGGCCCGGTCGCGCCCAGCGTTCGAACCGCGCGGTGAGCGCCGGGCTGGCTTGAGCGGCGCTGGAAGGACGGGAGCGGCGCTGAGGGGCCCGGGACAGCGGCTGCGGGGGAGCGCTTGGGCCCGGCCCGCCTCGGCTTCCGCGGGACGCGCCGTGCGGGCGCTCCGGGGGCGCTCCCCGCAGTACCGGGGTGGTCCCGCAGGCGGCGCTCGGGGCCGCGGCGGGGGCGGAGCGCCGGTGACGAGGCCCCGCCCGGGCCTGCGCCGTGCGCGCCCCTCGGCCTTTTCCCGGCGGGACGGGGGCGCCCCGGGAGAGGCGAGCGCGGTCCCTGCGGCGGTGCTGGGGCTGTGGCTCGGGGTAAAGTGGGCCGCTGCTCGCAAAGGGGCCGGGATCGGGCCGGGGCTCCTGTGCTGTGAGCCGGTTCCCCCTCCCATCTTCTGGCCGGGCGCGACGTAAGCTCTCAGCCCCCTCAAGCTCTGAAAACACAGAGGTGCCTGTGACCGAGAGCTCCCTGGCTGACACGAGCCTGAGCTTTATTTCAGTCCGCGGCGGGCGGCAGGACCGTCCCGCTGGCCCTGCGAGCCCTGCGCACGCCGCTGCCGGGGAGTCGCTATCCCGAGCGCTCCCCGTTCCGTGCAGCCCTGCTCCGCCGCCCAAGGCCACCCGCCCGCTCCCGGCTCGCTGCCGGCCCCCCTCCTTCACTCCCGGCTTGCTGTGGAACACCTGAGCCCGCTGGGGGGGGGCCGGCCGGCTCCGGTGCGCCCTCCAGCCCCAAGTGCCACCGCTCCCAGACACCCCGGCACGGCGGGGTTTGCTGCTTTTGAAACAAGTGCTCTTGCCGCTTCATCTCGGTGATGTTGTTTCGGTGATCTAGGTCGGACTGCCACGTACGAGACGGCGACTTTTCCCCCTCTGGACTCTCCGCAGCGTCAGGAGTGCTGGCTTTGTTGCCCCATTCAACACCCCGGCAAAGCCACAGTCCCCCATTTCTGTGCTCCTCTGCAGCGTCTGCCGAGGGACATCCCGAACGAAACAGGCCTGGAGATGAAATGTCCGTGCCTGTACACACAGAATCGGTCTCTGCACCAGGACCCCAGCACAGCCAAGGGAGGGAAAGCACTGCTGGCTGCACCTCCCCTGCGACTGAGCAGAGATTTGAAATAGCCAAAGCTGTCGAGCGGCAACAAAAGTCTCACTGTGTGCGCTAGAAAGCTTTCTGTGCTAAATGCACACCGAACCAGCCTACTTGTCATGTTTCTTCTAATGAAGCATTAGCATTAGTGTCAAAGCTTGTTAATGCGATACAGGAATTATGCAGTGAATATATATTTTCCAAGCTCAGTTTGGGTGTGTTGCGACACTGAAAACGTGGGAGGGAACAGCGGCTGTCAGTTCTCCTTCTGCTACTGTTGAACACAATCACTGCAGGGCCCGGGCTGGCCTACCTTCCTAGAAGAACTCTGGGGAGAGAGACACAATGTTGAAAAGGATGAAATATTTGCACTGCAATTATTATTTCTATGTATCTATTTCTGATACATTTGTGGGATAATTACTCTGGGTTGTATTTTGTTACTTCAGGCAGTAAGTTAAGTGTATCACCTTCGGGGAAAAAAACAAACTAAAAAAACCTCTCCAATAGGTGAGTCTGAGCAGGTTTATTCTAGAGCACCATCTTTCATTATTATGAATTCCACTGAAATAATTACAGTCATCTTCTACCCAACCCTCATCCCCCAAGCCCAAGAACTTTGTTGAATTTTTTTTTTTAAAGCAATTATCTCTACCTCCACACATCACTTTTCAGGTCAAAAAAAAAAAAAAATGATAGGTTGCAGGTTAACAACAGCAAAAACTGATGTTTAGAACAACAGCTGTTGTTCCAGTACGTGCCAGAAGTACCCCCCAATCTCTCCTGTCGTGTGGTTTGACTTGTTCTCCCTCTCAGGCAGTCTCACGCTGCTGAGCTGCACATGGCCCCTGTGCTGAGTAGCTCTGAGCAGGTACCTGAAGGTAAGCTCCAGAGAAACACCAGACTTAGATTATCCCAGTTTACTGTCATTTGCCTTGAAGGGCACTTAGACGTTTCAGTAAGTGTAAAATTGCAACACTCTAACTGCCAACTCATTAAGCATCAGAATAAACAGCTGCTTATTTTAATGGCTTTCTTCAGGCAGTTGCTACAGTTATTTTGCCACATGCTGTGGTCTGTGCTTAAATATTATCAGAGGCCGGTTCTGCCAAATACAGTCTGTTGCTGCCTGCAAGATAAAAGCATCTTTGAAAGCACTACCAGCCCTACAACAGCTGTGTGGCAATTAAAGAAATGTGACATAACTTTGGAGCCACGGAACTGGTAAAGCTTCCTCCAATCCCAATTTTCTAGCTGAGTTTTGCCAGCAAACTGCTTAGACCTTGGATTCCTCCCCAGTGAATCCACTCATATCTGAGTATGACATTTTGCTTCACTTATGTGTTTGCCTCATGCTAGGAAGTGCCAGTCAGATTTCACCCGTGCTGGAGACACAGCTGGACATTTAAGGACAAGTTTCCAGATTGTCCTGATATCTATTATCAGAGCAAACAGAGATGGAAAACCTTACAAAGAGATTTTGATACTGCAGGCAGAAGTCACAACAAACTGGCAAGCAAATGGCAACGCATTGCTCTATCCAACATAAATCCAAGACCATGGAGATGAAGTAAAACTGCCCACAATTCTGTTTATTGTTTCTCTCAGTGGACCAAAGTGCAAGACCTGTCCTCTCATGGCTGCAGATTCTGTATGGTCACTTCTACTTCAGCTTGGTGTTTATGCTCACAGAAATTCTCTGGAAATGAGAACAGTTTTTCAGAGCTTCTTTGTTGCCTGTTTCTATATCAAGCTTGAGTGTCAGTTTCTGATTTTATGCCTCACTGTTATTTAGGTTGCTGCTACACTGATTGTTTCCTCTAGCAGTTAAAGATGTAGGCTGTAAAGGAGCCCTTTCCAATCATGTGTTCCAGAAAACCCCTAAATCTACCAGGCTTCCTGCAAAACAGAAGTACCTGTTACTGTGGTGGAAGGACATGCCAGTTGTGGGGGGTTTTGTTGTTGCTTTGTGCTTTTTTTTATTTGTTTTATTTTTGTTAGTGGGTTTTTCTGTTTGGTTTTGGTTTTCTTTTTCTTCCACACCATCCCACTTCCTCCCCCCTCCTCTTGGCATGATTTTATATCTCTGGGGTTTGGAGAGAGTCATCTCCTCATTGCCTGTGATCTTATGGCCTTGTACAAAATAGCAGATGAGGTGCAGAGCAGAGAAGTTGCTTTCTCATCTCTCAGTTGCCAAATCCGGTCAGGATTTCATGAAGGCACTCAGCATATCTACATAAACCCATACCCTGTGTGCAACCTTGCCACCCAAGGTGGGAATATTGCTGAGAGAAACCAGAGTCCTCGGTGCCTGCATTTCCCTGCCCGAGCTTTAGTGCCCTACCAGCACAGGCTCTTAGCAGGTGGCTGTGTCCAGGGAGAGAAAGAGGCAGCTTTGCAGGCTGGCACCAGGTGGTGTCACCTCACCAGAGGAAACACACTGGGAGTGGAACACGAGGCACTGCATCAAACTGGGAGAAACAGCTGTCTGCCAAGCTCCACAGTACTCCTACATCCAGGCTCCAGTTTGTCTCCTAGGAGAGCTGCTGCCATGAACCTGTGCCCACCCTTGACCATAGGAAGCCAGTTACAGAGCTAATACCACACCAGATAAGGACAGGGATCAGGACTGCTGTGACTCCCACATGGACATCAAACCAAAGCACATAGAAACAAGGGAGGAGAAGGTTGTCTAGCCATTTTCTCAATGAAAGACTGCTTAGGTAACTTCCATCATCTTCTCAGCTCCACCCAGGCAGCACAGTTTCTCCTGGTTCTGGTGGTTTTCTAGCAAAGCTGGGTTACTCAGTCTGGCACTGCACATAGCCTGCTGTGCCAGGCACACCCTGATGTGTCCCCAGAGTGCTGCTGGCAGCTCCTCTTGAACAAAAAGAACAGCAAGGCACCAGCCCTGAGTCTCATTTTGGACACGTGGAGCCCTTAAAAGGGCCAGCTGGCCCACAGGCACACAGCTGGGAAGCCCCTCACAGCATTCCAGAAAATATTCCCAGCACAGGAGCTGGGAAAGACGGGTAGGTAGTCGTTTGGGCCTGAAAATTGCTGTCACAGGATGACATGTTCATGGCCATATTTGGCTGTGCGGGGCTTAATCCACACCCTCCTGTTTTAGCATGTGCCTTGCTCCGTGGGGTGGCCTTTCAATTAAATCATGGCATCCTTCCAGAGGCTTTTTATTAAAAGCCATCTCCACTAAGTTCCCTACAGACCAGGTCTGTGAAACAATTACCTTCCCTTGTACCAAGGGCTCCTGTATTTAACT